GTGGTGCGGTGCTCTTCAGGCTGCCTTAAAGTCCCAGGGGAACAATTAACAGAACTTTTTTTAAAAAAAACAATACCTTCAATATAATGTGATATGAAAGCATTTTTCCCATTAAATTTGACACATGAGCAAGAATGAACATGGGTTTTGCCCAAATAGTAAAACCTTTGCAGAATACCAGTGAATATTATCCAAATTGTTTGTACTATAATTACTATAAAATATAGAATTAGATAGTTCATAGCTTTTTTCTTTAATTTTACAGGTACAACATTCAGTGTCATACAGTTGAGTCTGCAAATGATATTCTGGTCCCATCTTTTGATGAAAAGAAAAAGCACTGTGTTTTCCAGGGTGATCTTTTGCTGTTCAGCTGTGCAGGATCTCATCCAAACCTCAAAAGGATCTGCCCTTGTAGAGACTATCTTAAAGGACAAGTTGCACTGTGTAAAGACTGTCTATAGCAGGACATTAATGTGACTTTTCGAAGTGGCTTGGAGAAACCCATTTTGTGCACTTTGCTACTGCAGACAAAAGAGTTCTTCTGCTGAAGAGCAGAAATCTGTACCAAGAAAGGGCAGATAAGTGATATAAATGTTTAAAAAACCTCAACTTTTTATGTTTTTGTTTTCTGAAGTAAGCTACTCCAGCCAAGTTCATAGAAATCTCTTTATTCAAAGAAGTGACAAATCAAGTTCCAACAAGGTAAAACAAGAGCTTGAGATAGGTTGGGGTTTCCCCCCAGGGACTCCTCACGATGGACAGTTTGTCAATATCACATCCAGTAGAAAAAAATATCAACCTGAAAGGATTGGATAGTGCAGAAGAGACTAAGACTTATCGTAGGTATGCTAAATGGTGGTGCTGCTCCCATCGACTTGGAACTACAAGGTCATGCAGCTGCTGAAAAGCATCACCAGATCTTGGTCACTTTTTGACTCATCCCTTGTCTTTCTCCAGCGTCACTGCTTGAGAGAGCCACGCAAGGGAACCTTCCAAACCAGGACTGGTAGCTGACAGACTGACAGATCCTTTTGGCTTGATCCTGGGTTATGATTGTGGCATTAATCAGGGTTTTAATAGCCACATAAACACCCAATTTTTAAAAATGCTCTTGTTTCGAACTCTGTATTCCCTTTCTGACTTGTCCAAAGGTTTTGCTTAGGGTGTTTGTTAGAAATACTGTGTAATCATTGGAAGCAAAATGGTTTCATTGGAGCAATATTTTATTTCTTGAATTTGCTGTAAGGTAGCAAAACAGCAACTAAAATATGAAAATAGAAAAAAGACCATTACAAAATGATACATGGTAGAAGAGTGGTCTTCCCTGGTATCTTGTAGGAATTTAAAGAACAATTATGGCCTGCAAATAATGGCTATGAAAAGGGGAGTTTATTTTCTGCAGTCCTCAGTTAAAAAGTGGGTATGTGGAAATAGGCCATTTATTTTTTAAATTGCGATTAATCCAGAATATTGAAGTCAAACGTTGCTTGTAGACAGGATTTAAGCTGTTCCTTAAACAAAAATGCACAGTAACTTTTTTTTAATGTTTTTTTCAGCACAACTGACACATCTTTAATGCACTGCTTGTGGATAGGAAAAAAGCATTGAATTGAAAATGAATGTCTTGTCATTTTGCAGCTAGGTTGGAAAGGCCTGGGAGCAGGGAGCGAGAGGAGGGGAGAGACTTGGACCATTTGCAAAATAAAAACTATTATTTCCCTCCTTTGTAAACATCAGTTAATTACTATTTCTACTGATAGAATAATATGCCTACTTTTAATCTTTTGTAATCTATCAGCTCATTACTTGATGCATTATTTTATATCTGAAGGTCATTGCATATCTCTTGACTTGCTGAAGACCACAAAAGAAACATTTTTTGAACAAATTGCCAAGTTGAAGTCAATTTTTCAAAAAAAAAAATAGTTAAAATACATTTAAATCTGTGTGAACATAGTATTTACAGAAACCAATTATTTATATTAAGGGACATAATGCCAGACCTGGATAAAATCTGAATAAGAAAAATGTTACTTAAAAAAATATTTATGTCATATATCCAGAAGCACTCTGTAACAAGAAATATATTATCAAAATTGAAATACGTTATGTGTAGAATTAAAAATTACTAAGGAGTGAGCTAACTTCAAAATTAGGATTCATTGAATTGAATTTCAGATTGAAAACATTACTGCCAAATGTAACTCTTGGAATCTAAGCATGTGTGTTTTTTAAGTTATCAAACTTAGATAATTTCTAAAGCCAAGAATTATATGTATGTACACATCATGAGTTCAACCGAACCCACAGACTTGGCACTTCTAATTGCTGTAGCAGCAAAACAATTTGATAATATTTGTGCTGTAAATACATCTTTGTTAATGTATTCCAATTAATTTATCTTGAATAATGGTGGACTGCTTTAAGTCCAATATTTCTTTTTCCAGAAAAGCTAACAATAAAGCATGAAATACAAAATCCAGGCAAATTTTGCAGGAAAGAATGGAAATGATCAGAAATCACATCATTTGCTTGGAATCTTTCCTTCATCATTAATATGGATTTTATATTCTGATGCTGAATTGTGAATGTGTGCCTGTGTGTTTGTATTCATAAATTGCTTCACGGAGTAATAATATATTAACATCCAAACAAGCCCTGAGAACTAAAATAGGGTGTTGGTTGGTCCAGTCAGTAATTATAGACTTTCAGTCAGAGGTAGATCTGCTAATTGCTAGTCTTGTAATTCAACATAGATATACATGTATTGAGAGAGAAAGAGAGAAATGGTTGCAACTTAACAAAATGAGGACAGTTTTGGGGAAAGTAGAATTATTATAGTTCTTATATTTTTGCAGTACTTTTATAATGTCATTGAGAATAGGGTCAGACCTTCAATAGTTTCTTTCAATTATTTCATAGTTGACGGCAGTTTTTTATGACAGTAATATGGTGTTGATCCTGAAAGGAAAGTTGTGTATATTAGGCCTTTCTATCATAAGTATATATTTATTTACTATAACAATTTGGTGGAATAAAATCAGAAAGTTTCAACTAAATATGTTTTTGTCAGTACAGATAGATTTGACTTTTTTTTTCCATGGAAGACTTCTGTTAAAATGCAGATATTAACAAGTCTAGTTCCACTGAGCACTGTATTATAAGCTGAAGGTTGAGGGAGTTGTCCAAGATGTCATTAAAGTTACACAGATTTATTGATGAATCTGTTATTTCCTTCTTTTTTCTTGAAAATATAGAACCAACAGAAGGAATATTGGGGGATCTAAGAAAACAAGCAGAACTACAACAATTTCATCATGCAAATTTAGGGCTAGATTGATTACTAGAAATGAGTCAGAAATGAATATGGGTGAGTGAATTGGATATGGATCAAAAAATAAAAATTATATGACAAAGATTAATCCTAAGCTACAAATTTTCATGTGTCAAGAACATTGCCTTTATTTTACAAATTTGTTTGAACTGATATTTTTTAAAATCTGTGAGTTTACCAAAACCTGAGAGAAGCATTTGCATAATTTATTTTAAAAAATAACATTAAAAGTTTGCCTTTGAAAGGTAAAGATTGAATACACTGTTTAAAAATGCCAATAAAAACCTCATTTATTTCATATATGCAAGTTGATTTGTACATCTATCTATAGCTATACTTTGAATGTATTTTACATTGCCTCTTTATGTAATTCATTGATGCAATTATAGTTGGAGGTTCATTTGATTTTTGCATGGTAGTATCTAAACTTATTCTGCTAATTTTGGTGCCTTTGTTTTTTATAAATTGAATTTTCAAATAATGGTTAGTTAGAACATGAACAGCATATGGACATCAATAATAGAACCTAGATTTGAAGATTAATATATGTAAAAATTATTCATCTGAGTTTCAGAGAGGATTTTCTGGAAGAAGAAAAGATGTTGAAACAAAGAATATTCTACACCTAGCATCAACAATAGAATATTTTTTATTGATATATGTGCGTAAATGTATCTCAACA